ACATGGGAGAGAGGGCTGTGCTGTGCTGTGCAGACATGGGAGAGAGGGCTGTGCTGTGCTGTGCTGTGCAGACATGGGAGAGAGGGCTGTGCTGTGCTGTGCAGACATGGGAGAGAGGGCTGTGCTGTGCTGTGCTGTGCAGACATGGGAGAGAGGGCTGTGCTGTGCAGACATGGGAGAGAGGGCTGTGCTGTGCTGTGCTGTGCTGTGCAGACAAGGGAGAGAGGGCTGTGCTGTGCTGTGCAGACAAGGGAGAGAGGGCTGTGCTGTGCTGTGCAGACATGGGAGAGAGAGCTGTGCTGTGCTGTGCAGACAAGGGAGAGAGGGCTGTGCTGTGCTGTGCTGTGCTGTGCAGACAAGGGAGAGAGGGCTGTGCTGTGCTGTGCTGTGCAGACATGGGAGAGAGGGCTGTGCTGTGCTGTGCTATGCTGTGCTGTGCAGACATGGGAGAGAGCTGTGCTGTGCTGTGCAGACATGGGAGAGAGGGCTGTGCTGTGCTGTGCTGTGCAGACATGGGAGAGAGAGCTGTGCTGTGCTGTGCTGTGCTGTGCAGACATGGGAGAGAGGGCTGTGCTGTGCTGTGCTATGCTGTGCTGTGCTGTGCAGACATGGGAGAGAGAGCTGTGCTGTGCTGTGCAGACATGGGAGAGAGGGCTGTGCTGTGCTGTGCAGACAAGGGAGAGAGGGCTGTGCTGTGCTGTGCAGACAAGGGAGAGAGGGCTGTGCTGTGCTGTGCAGACAAGGGAGAGAGGGCTGTGCTGTGCTGTGCAGACAAGGGAGAGAGGGCTGTGCTGTGCTGTGCAGACAAGGGAGAGAGGGCTGTGCTGTGCTGTGCAGACAAGGGAGAGAGGGCTGTGCTGTGCTGTGCAGACATGGGAGAGAGGGCTGTGCTGTGCTGTGCAGACATGGGAGAGAGGGCTGTGCTGTGCTGTGCTGTGCAGACATGGGAGAGAGGGCTGTGCTGTGCTGTGCTGTGCAGACATGGGAGAGAGGGCTGTGCTGTGCTGTGCAGACATGGGAGAGAGGGCTGTGCTGTGCTGTGCAGACATGGGAGAGAGGGCTGTGCTGTGCTGTGCTATGCTGTGCTGTGCTGTGCAGACATGGGAGAGAGAGCTGTGCTGTGCTGTGCAGACATGGGAGAGAGAGCTGTGCTGTGCTGTGCAGACAAGGGAGAGAGGGCTGTGCTGTGCTGTGCTGTGCAGACAAGGGAGAGAGGGCTGTGCTGTGCTGTGCAGACAAGGGAGAGAGGGCTGTGCTGTGCTGTGCAGACATGGGAGAGAGGGCTGTGCTGTGCTGTGCAGACAAGGGAGAGAGGGCTGTGCTGTGCTGTGCAGACAAGGGAGAGAGGGCTGTGCTGTGCTGTGCAGACAAGGGAGAGAGGGCTGTGCTGTGCTGTGCAGACAAGGGAGAGAGGGCTGTGCTGTGCTGTGCAGACAAGGGAGAGAGGGCTGTGCTGTGCTGTGCAGACAAGGGAGAGAGGGCTGTGCTGTGCTGTGCAGACAAGGGAGAGAGGGCTGTGCTGTGCTGTGCAGACATGGGAGAGAGGGCTGTGCTGTGCTGTGCAGACATGGGAGAGAGGGCTGTGCTGTGCTGTGCAGACATGGGAGAGAGGGCTGTGCTGTGCTGTGCTGTGCAGACATGGGAGAGAGGGCTGTGCTGTGCTGTGCAGACATGGGAGAGAGGGCTGTGCTGTGCTGTGCTGTGCTGTGCAGACATGGGAGAGAGGGCTGTGCTGTGCTGTGCAGACATGGGAGAGAGGGCTGTGCTGTGCTGTGCAGACATGGGAGAGAGGGATGTGCTGTGCTGTGCTGTGCAGACATGGGAGAGAGGGCTGTGCTGTGCTGTGCAGACAAGGGAGAGAGGGCTGGGCTGTGCTGTGTCCTCTGTGTGCTGGGTTACCTGCCAGATCACCAGCCCCAACCCAGATGGCAGGACAAGCCATGTGTCACACTTGTTTCCATACTAGACTTTGGGGAGGGGTCATACCCAGGGACCTGCTGCTGTCTCCAAGGCACAGGAAGCCAGGGAGGGCAGCGAGGCACACACAGTTTAGACAGCCCTTGTCCAGCCAAAGTTAAAGATTGGTGACCTAAGCCTATGGTGATTCTGGTGCACATTTTTACTGTTTGCATCTTCTACAATGCAGACCCATCAACCTTGTCAGGGTTCTAACCAAAATGACTCCTTTTCAGCATTATTGCTGTTAAAAATGGGGTTTTAAGCAGTTAAGGTCAGGGAGTCATTTCTTTCAGTGCCTCCCCTATCTCCCTCCACAGCTGCTTAATGCTATGGTGGCGAAGCTGGGAAACAGAGAGGACCCATTGCCCCAGGACTCCTTTGAAGGGGTGGATGAAGACGAGTGGGTGAGTGACAGCTGGCCCCAGCTTCCTTAGCCAACAGCACTGTTCTCCTGTAAACGCCGTGGCATGCACCCTCCCTCCCTAGGCCCCCTTAACTCCTGCCTCCTGGTTTCTCACCCCAGGACTAGCCTGCACACCAGGCACCCCTGGCCTCAACTGCCACTGCCACCTCCTAGGACCACCTGCTGCCCTCCACACCTTGCATCTCTGCAAACTGGACAGCGCTGCTCTGGCCCTGGCAGGCACATGGAGCCCAGGAGCCCTGGGTTTCCTGCAGGCCCCAGGCACTTCCACTGCTGCTGGGCCCACTGCTCCTCTGCCCTCTGGGGCCGGCTGCTTATGCCAGTTGCCTGTTAGCATGTGACACCAGTGGGTGGGAAGTGGATGTCAGTAGCATGTCTCTGGGCCAACCCCGGATGCCTCGTCTCTCCTGGTCTCTCTGCTGGCTTCATCTAACATCGTCAGTTACTACATGCCAACCTGTCTTGCCTGCTGCCCCAGATCCAGTCAAGGACATTGGGGGCTGGCCCCCCACCAGGCTGCTGGGAGCAGCTTTATCCTCAGGGGCCTAGAACCATTTACCCTGCTTCCCTTGGCTTGAGGCCAGGAGAAAGGGTCTTGTGGAGCTTCATTACAATAGTGTGAACCCCACAACCAGCCTATCCATGCTCTGGATGTTTTCATCAATTAAACTTTTCTAAGTTGCTGCCTCTCGTGCTGGTCTCTGGAAGTCTAGAAAGAAGGGGACAGAAGATGAGTGAGAGAACTTGGTTCTGGGCTCCTTCATACTGGTTTTACTTTGCTCCATTTACTTTGTAATGATCAGCTGATCATAGCTTTGTCCTAGGGAACCAGGCCATGCATAGGAAAGCAGCTATGAGGAAATCTGTGAACTGCCTCGGGGGCGGGACAAGCAGTGTGTCAAGGCAGGGAGCAGAGAGGAGATACTTGTGTTCTTTGAAACTGAAAACTAAAACCTGAAGGAGCCAAGAGCAAACAAAAGGAAGTTGAGCAGTGTACCAGGGTAAGAGAGTTTGGAGAGCTAGAGGGAGGAAGGAAAGAATGGGCAGTGGGCTAGAGCAGGGGTTCGCAATCTGTGGGTCACTTGAGCCCATTGGAAAACACAGCTATTTACATCGTGGTTCGCAACAGTAGCAAGTTATGGTTACGAAGCAGCAACAAAAATAATTTTATGGTTGAGCCACCACAACATGAGGAACTGTATTAAAGGTCACAGCATTAGGAAGGTTGAGAACCACTGCTCTGGAGGAATCTGACTTAAATCCATTCACCAAACACCTATAAGTGTCCATGGCATGCCAGACAGCCCTCCAGGCTTGATAGCTAAGAGGAAACACATAAATGTTCTGACCACTGAGAGTTCATACTCTAGTGGGGAGGCATAGCAATAAATGATGATGGTAAAATATCAAATTATTTAAATTCATTATTTGTTAAATTAATTATTAATTATTGGATTATTTTACAAAAGAAATTATGTCGTAGAGCAGTGGTTCTCAACCTTCCTAATGCTGCAACCCTTTAATACAGTTCCTCGTGTTATGGAGACCCCCAATCATAAAATTATTTTTGTTGCTACTTCATAAGTGTAATTTGTTACTGTTATGAATTGCAATGTAAGTATTTTTGGAGAAAGAGGTTTGCTACGGGAGTTTCGACGCACAGGTTGAGAACCGCTGTTGTAGAGGATGAGAGCTTCAAGGAAAAATATAGAGCAAATGGAGCATGAAAGGATAAAGCAGTCACAAGAGGCCACATTTAGTTCTGATTCTATAGAATGTCCAGAGCAAACATGGACAGTTTCCAGAGTAGGAAAGGGACTGCAGCTGGAAATGGCCTGAACAAGACGGTGGCGATGGCAGAACTGAATTGCGCACTCAAAAAGGTGGAACTGTTTGGTGTGTGGATTCTGAACAGACCAGAGAAGATCTTGTTAGGACCTGGAGAGAAGAGATTCCTCTGCAAGCCAATCAGAGGAACTTAAATAAAAAACAAACCTGGCAACATGATCAGCTTGGACATAAAGATTCCATAACCAGCTAGGTGGTGATGCTTGCCTTTTATCCCAGCAGGAGGCAGAGGTAAGTAATCTCTTGAGTTCAAGGCCAGACTGGTCTACAGAGTTCCAGGACTGACAGGACTGCACAGAGCAACCCTATCTCGACACCACTGCCCCCCAGAAAAATGATTCCAGAACCATCAGAAAATAAACATCTGTTGTTTAAAGCACATCCCAGACCCTCCAAAGCAGAACAGCGTGGTGGGCGCATTAATATTTGTAGAGGAACTTGATGGACCTCACTGAGAAGGTGGCTTTGATTACATACTTGAGGTGGGTGGGGACGAACCTGAAGGGTATCTAGGAAAGAGTTTCACAAGCAGGAAAAATCTGCAATTAAACCTATTTTGAAGTACCTAGTTTTCTTAAGTATTTCAGAGAATTTGACATCCATTCCTTTATTACTTTGACTTATTTCATATGATGGCTTCTTCCTAAATATTTTGGGAAAGTGAAGGAACGAAGCTTGCTGCACGAGTACGCACGGAAGGTTTAGAGCCACCCGTCGCTCGCCCAGCAGTCTTCTGACCCCGAAGCAGGCTCCGCCTACAGTCACGGTGACTTCCGTCTGAGTCCCGCCCCTGGAACTGCGCCGCGGCCTCGCGCACGCGCTCTCCGGTCTTCCTTGACCTCTGACCCACCGGCCGCTCAGGAGCTGGTCCCGGGGTCGGGAAGCGGCACCCGTGCCCCTGAGGTGGAGCTGCCGCCATGGTGAGTCTCGGGAAGGGAGGTCTAGTCAGAGTCGTGAGCCGCCCGCGTACCCCACAGGAAGCAATGTCGGTGGCGTGTCGCGGGGTCGCAGACCGTTGCCCCCCGGGCGGGGACGACCGCGGGCCTGAGAACCGAGGCTCGGCCGGCAGGAAGCCCCCGGCCAAGTCCTGCCTCGGCGTCAGCGAACCGCTGTAGGCGGTGAGAGGAGGGGATTGGAGGGTGGGCCGGCTCCTGAGTGGCAGGACCCGGCGTTGTCGGTGATGTCTCTTGGTTTTTAACTGCGTTTGACAGTTGGCTCGTCCAAGGAATTGGTAGACCTGGGACCTGAGCTGAAATCGAGACCTGGTGGCTGAGTGTGTTGGGAAGCATGCAGGTCACCTGTGCAACCTTTAAAAGGCAGGTTCTTGAGGTTTGACCGAGTGATCGGAAGGCGGTTGTTTGGGGGAGCCCATTTGTTTGTTTCCTTACCTATTTATTTACTTGAGACAGGGTGTCACTGTGTATGAGGCCGTGGCTGTCCACGTACTTTCTGTGTAGTAGGTCAGGCTGGTCTTAAACTCATCTCATTGAGATCCACCTGCCTCTGCCTCCGGCATTAAAGGTGTGCGCCACCACCCCTGGCTGGGGAGCCTGTTCTTTATTGGAAGGTGGCAGTTAACTTGCAGTTGCTTTATGTAGATTGTTATTTAATCTTTCTCAGTTGTCCCAGTTTTTAAACTTAAAAGACGGAGAATTTAACTTTTCCAGGAAGTTAAATCTTCTTTCCCGGAAGAGTCAGAACCTGGTTTGGGTCCCAGTTTTGCTCATGTTCTGAGACTACACATTTCCCACCGTATAGTACCTGCCTTGTAATTGGGTCACCGACATCTAGTGGGACTTGTGTTGATTCCCCATGGAACTGGGTCTTTATCACGTGTCCTCCACATTCAACTCAGAAATTCTCTCAGGTCATGGTGGCTTACACTTGCAAACCCAGCACTTGGGAGGCTTAGGAAGGATGGTCAGGAGTTCCAGAGCAGCCTGCATACTTTAGTAAAGATGGCTGAGGTATAGCTCAGTGTTACAGTGCTTGCCACCACAGGAGAGGCCTTCGATTCAGTGCCCAGGATGCTTCCAAAAGAGGCAAAGAAAAGTTCTGTGGGAAGGTACATGTGGGAGGAGCCTAGGAATTTTCACCTGGAAGTCGGGTTATAGCGTGCTTTGCCAAGCCCTGAAGGGTGTTGAAGATTTTTGGTTTAGGGCATTGTCTTGCTCTGTAACTCAGGCTAGCCTCAAAGTCTAGGTACCCTCCTGCCCCAGGCTCCCGAGGGTTGGAGTTTGAGGTTTGCGCCACATCGCGCCTGGGCAGTCTTGGCCATATCTATGTAGAAAGGAAGGTATTCATAGTGAAGGAACTGAGAGCAGTGGAGACATTAAGCATTCAAGAAGCAGGGGAGCTTACCTAGAAGTAAAGAGTGCAGCTGCAATGGGGGGAAGGGTAAGAGGGAGAGATTCCAGAGAAAGAGGCTGGCTGGGGTCAGAGGTGGGAGGAGGAAATGAATTTGCACCGTGGAGAACTGGGCAGCCACCTTAACTCAGCAATGGCGGCGTGGAAACCCTGCCTGGGGAACGAAGCCTTGGCCAAGCAGAGTTAAGAGTGACTTGATTAAAGTGTTGGCTCATGGACAGTCATGCTCTTTCTTAGAATGAGCACTCTTACCTGCTGAACCATCTTCTTGGGCCATCCATTTGTTTGGGTTTTATTATGAGATCGGGCTCATGCGCACCCTACCTGGGCCTCCCCTCTCTGCACACCACAGACCTTTAGTGATTTTGTTGTTGTGTTGTGTTCATGGACAGATTCCAAGTCCTAGGGCTTGAAGTCTTGGGAGAGTTAGGATGGATCTATTTTTCCCTGGTTATATGGACGCTGGCCCGATGGTCCCAAAAGCAGAGAGGAGCCGTCAGCCTTGGCGTCGATTAAACTGGTGGTGGTGGCAGTCTGGGACTGCCAGGTTCTTCCCATAAGTCAGTGTCGGTTTCATGCCCTATAACCTTTCCAGTCTACCTCTGGGCACGCCAGCGAATTTAGAGTTTAGAAAAGTTAGCCCTTAGATCATCCCCACATCTCCAAGGTGTTCCTTTTGTCCACAGGCCAAGTACCTGGCCCAGATCATTGTGATGGGTGTGCAGGTGGTGGGCAGAGCCTTTGCCCGGGCCCTGAGGCAGGAGTTTGCAGGTAAGACTATCCCTGCATGCTGGGAGCCCTGCCCAGCTTAGATTTCCCCTGTGGGTTGTGTCAGTTGTGAATGAAGGGACCTCTTTTGGGTAAAGTTCTGCGGCTTAGATGCTGGAGTACTTTCCCATGGGAGGAGGCGGTGCCAGATTTTGAGACATTCCTACATACTGGAAAGGTTTGTTTTCAGTTTGGCCTGGTTAGCACAAGTGTCCAGGGCAGATGGGCTCCCGTGACAGTCCATTTTGGTAAATAAAGTAAGATAGTCCCATCTTCTGTCTGCTTTCACGGAGAGCTGAGTAATTCCAACACAGACTAACTGGCTGCAGAGTTAAAATGTTTATTATCTGGCATCTGAAGAGAAAGTTTGCTGGCTTTTGATTGTAAGGTCACCAAAGGAAAGCAGTCCTCCAGGTGGTCTGGGTACTGGCTAGGCCAGTTGTGGGGGCTCTGACACCAGCTACTGTTCCTCCCTTAGTTTTACCATAGTCCCCAAAGTAGCTTAAAGCTCTCAAATTTGCTAGGCCTCTGGGACAAGGAACGGGGGGGAGGAGAGGGGACAAGGTCATCTTGTGGTCTAGATTGGGGGACCAAGAGCCTAATTTGACCCCATCTTACCCTTCAGTGTGGAATGTTTGCCTCTCCCCTCCAAAAAGAAGCCAGTACTAAAGAAAAGCGGCTCCTGGGAGAAATGTTTATTTAATGTCACTTAGAAGGCCTGGGGGAAGCTCTGGGCCACCGAGGGGGCTAAGCAGTCACCCATGTATCCACAGCAAGCCAGGCAGCTGCTGATGCTCGGGGTCGTGCTGGGCACCAGTCTGCAGCCGCATCCAACCTCTCTGGCCTCAGCCTCCAGGAGGCCCAGCAGATTCTCAACATCTCCAAGCTGAACCCTGAGGAGGTCCAGAAGGTGAGGCCTCTCATGGGTCATGGGACTGTGTTGCATGGGCAGTCAGAGGAGGGTGGGTGTGGAAGCTCTGACCACAGCCAGTGAGAGACTGGCTGTGTAAGTAGAGACACAGCTAGCTGTAGCAGCTGAGCCATCCCCACAGGGTTACCTGTATCCTTTGGACACAGCAGTTTCCTACATGACATGTGGGTTAGAGGTCAGGCCCTTTAACTTCTCTTGCCATCAGCCTTCCCTGATGTTCACTGTCTCATCTCCGCAGAATTATGAACACCTATTTAAAGTGAACGATAAATCCGTGGGTGGCTCCTTCTACTTGCAGTCAAAGGTGAGTGCTTTTAACTCTATGAGGAAAGGAAGCCATAGGCTTCCCCTTCCACCTTAGAGTGCTACTTAAGTTGTTTGAATCTTGGTAGTCTGCTGTCCTCTAGGGAGGTTGTTAGGGCCTGGGAAAAGGCCCTTGGTTCAGGCAAAGAGCAGAGATTGCCAGAGCCTGATCTTCCTCCTCCTAGGTTGTCCGTGCAAAGGAACGCCTAGATGAGGAACTCCGAATACAAGCCCAGGAAGACAAAAAGAAAGGGCAGATGCCCAAAACGTGACTGCTGGGCACACCCCACCCCACCCATTGCCTCATAATTTATAGCTTGGTAATAAATGTCTTTTCCATGTTTCTCCGGTGCTTATATTCCTATTTGAGAAGGTCGCTCACTTCCTATTTGTGGCTGTGAAAGAGTCAGGGGGCAGCAGCAGCTTTGACAGCCTGGTGGGTGGGATGTTGGGAAACAGCCACATACCCACTTTATTTATTTTTTTGGGGGGGGTTTTTTCGAGACAGGGTTTCTCTGTGGTTTTGGAGCCTGTCCTGGAACTAGCTCTTGTAGACCAGGCTGGTCTCGAACTCACAGAGATCCGCCTGCCTCTGCCTCCCGAGTGCTGGGATTAAAGGCGTGCGCCACCACCGCCCAGCCACATACCCACTTTAGAAGCCTGGCCAGGATCTGTCAGAGGCTTTGTTCCCTCCTGTGTGTTCTACCACACAGTCCTGAGGAGACCAAGGGTCTGCCCATGCCTTCCCTCAAGATAAAGAACCCCTAGCCTCAGAACTCCAGCTGGAGTTGCATACTGCTTTCAGTGACTTGGTCAGAATGTTCATGTGTAGCAGGAAGCGGCTTTGGCCAGCCTCTTGCTTGGACCAAGGCCTGGGCCTTGTAGTTGAGGATAATCTGTATCTTATTGTTCCTTACTACCTACCCTTCCAGGTCTTCCCTTTGTAGTCCCAAGTGGGTGGGCCTTCTGATCTCTTCCTTAGAGTAGCAGGTTGAGGGGAAAGCTCCAGGCCAGGTCTTTAGGAGGTGCCCACAACCAGGCACAGAGCAAGTGACCCAGCTCCTGGCACATCTAAGATGCAGAAACCATCTTTGCAACTCACTTTTATTGTTTCTTTATAAACTTCCTCTCACATGGAGGAAATAAATTGTTATAGTCATTAGCTTATTTTTTTTTTAAACTCTATGCTAACAGCAATGGAGCCAAAAGGAGGAAAAACATAAGCTACAATAGAAAGGCACTTAGAACCTGTTAAAATACTGATGTCCTGGAATGTGCAACAACAGACTGACAAGTACACCGGCCTTCCAAGCCTGGTCTATCACAGAATCACATGCTGAGCTAACGTCACCTTCCAGTGCCCTGTTCCTCTGCTCTCAGGCTTGAGTCTCAAACCCAGTTCTCAGCCAGGGACCTAAGTAAGGCCTAGGGCCCTAATGGAGCCAAGAGGCTGCTTGGATCATGGGTAGACCCGAAGACAGGAGACCAGCTCCTTAACTTGCTCACAGCCCCTTCAAGGGGTAGAGCCAGCACAGCCGAGCCCTATCAGGGCTGGGGTCCTAAGCCCAGCAGTTGGGCAGGTCAGGTCAGGGTAACCCTTCTAAAACAGAAGGGCAGTCTTGGAAAAAAGAGGCAAGCTGCTCAGAGGAACCACAGGGCTACTGAGGACCCCAGCAACTCTTCTGTTGTACAGATGGGGAGAGGAACTTAGCCACTCTGCATCATAATACGGGGGGCAGCAAGAAGCCCAAGCTGGCACATTCTGGAGCTGTAGACTACAGTCCTCCAATGTCCTTGGCTTTCTAGCCCTACATCAATGCTAGACCTTATTCTGAATAGTACAAGCCCTGGGGGAGCTGGCTTGGGTAGAGCTTGTGGGCAAAAGAGGCACCACCAAGAAAAGGACTCAACTGGAAAGTCAAAGAAAACAACCTTGTCACATGTCCAGTCCACTCTCAAGCCAGCTTTTCCCTAGCAGGCAGTTGGTCCTCCAAGAGCTGTTCTTGGCTACCTAGCCTCTCTCACACCCATGGGCTTCAGTTCGTGGTTTCTAGAAAGCTCCAGTCTGATGAATCAGTTCTTCCTGCATTCCATGACTTCGTAACCCCCAAACCTGTAGCTGCTTCCCAAGCCTGGTATCCACTGGTGTAGACACTGCAGGATAGCCAGGCTTCTGCAGGATAACCCTGCCAGGCCAACCCAAGCTGGACTGGACCAGTGCCATGATCCTTTGAACCTGCCTGTACACTCCGGAGGGAAAGGCTTCTATAGAAAGTGTTGCCAACCCTTTGGCAGTGCTGACTGACGCAGGCAGAAAGGGGCACTGGCAGCAGGCTTCTCTGCTAAGTAAGCAGGGAAACACCTTGTCATAGCAGTAGGTAGGAAAAGGCAGCTTTTTCCTGTAGCTTGGCCTGTGTCTGTCTTGCTCTCCCTCCAGGGGGTGTGCCAGAGGGAAAGGAGTCTAAGGAATTCCCAAGCATGGGTTTATGATCACTGAGGGCTTCTCAGTTGACAAGTAGGTAAGGCAGGGAGGAATAACAACCTGCCCAGACTGCTCACAGAGAGGAATGTACCAAAGCAAGAGGCAGGACTAGGGGTCCTTGGAGGACAGGCAGAGGAAGGCCTCCCCCAAATGATGTGCTAGGGAATGGAGGCAAGTGAGGCCTTAGCATCCAAGAGCATGGCCTCCTTGGACAACTCCTTGGCATCCACTCTGGAGCCACCAAAGACCTAGCTAGCACCATCCTTGCTACCCAGTTTGTCTGGGGCTGCAGCTTCCCAGGAAGCAGACACTCGGGCCCCTGAAACAGTAGGATATTATTGCTATTTCGCAGAATAGTTTCTGTTCGTCAGGGGATGAGCCCACAGTAGGTAGCTGGGCTGTCACAGCTGGTAGATGGGTAGCCCAGGTTCAGTTTACCACAGCTGGTTTGAGCAGCACAGACCCTGGAGGGATGACCACCCAGCCAGGAGTTAGCGCCTCTGGACTGCTGGCTGCTGAGTTGCCTGTGGACAGGTCCAGTACAGTTCCCGGTAGCAAGGGGAGTCCATCAGGGCTTGGCCGGGAGCGGCTGCGCTCCATCCTTTCCAGGGGAGGCTTATGGTCCTCTAGGCCCAGGACCCTGGCAGGCAGTGACCCACGACCTTTTTCCCCCTCAGCCTTGCTACCAGCAGAACCACCCAGGAGAGAGACCACAGGTAGGCCTAGTCCACCAGCCCCAAAGGGTGAGGGCAACAGCGGGTTCTTGGCCAGATTGAGGGGCAGAACAGAGCCTGGCAGCCCAGGGCCCATGCCCCCACCCCCACCCCCACCATTGCCACAGGCCAGAGCACTGAGGTCAAGGGGACCAGGGGCCAGGGGTAAGGGCAGGCCAGGTAGACTGGGGCCTCCAAAAAGGGCAGCAGGGTTGGGGATGATGATCTGAGCTCCACTGACATAGGAGCCACTGTCGGAAGTGGGCAGTGGTGGTTTCGGGGGTGGGCGCAGCTGTAGGAGCTCCTGCTGCTCCTGAGACACAAAGTGGCCATGGGCTTTGATGTGCTTGCGCAGTGAGCTGGGGTCCGTGTAGCGCTTGTGGCAGCCAGGCATCTTGCAGTAGTAGGGCTTGTCTACGTAGTGGGTACGGGTGTGCTTGAACCGGTCACTCGAGTTGGAGTAACGCTTGTTGCAGCCCTCGTAGGGGCAGACGTAGGGCTTCTCACCTGTGGGTGGGCTGCATTGAGGGGTCTCAACTCTGCCAGATCTTGCCACCTATCCCCTTGCCTCTCCCAGGCCCAGAGCTCCTGAAGCATTCTGATTCTGATTTGGGAGACAGTCGTTGCACCTGGCATGAGGCTGACCCAGCTAAGGACAGCAGCCAGAATTGCTGTACACCCTTTAGATCCCTTTGCTATAGATGCTGTGGTTGTTGTTGGGCAGAACTCGACCTTGGAGTGTGTGCCCTTGCTGAGCACTAACAATGCTGCCTGGGCCTTTTCGTGTGGCCTTGCACAGAACAGCTCACAATTCTGTTGTTGTTTGGTCTTGTTTTTGGAGACAGGGTTTCTCTGTGTAGCCCTGGCTGTTCTAGAACAAGCTTTGCAGACCAGGCTGAACTCAGAGATCTGTCTACCTCCTAAGTGCTGGGATTAAAGGCATGCACCACCTTATCTGGCTTGAATCACCAAGTCACTATGCTAACCAGGACAGGAGCCACCTGTAGCCACTCAGCCTTTGAAATAACTGGGCTCAGGAGATGTGCTGTGAGGCTAAGACACACGAGATCTCGAGACTCTGCATGAAAGGAAGGATTTCAGTGTTCTGCCGTTTAGTTTTGGTCATTTTAATTTTTTGAAATGGGATCTTACTGCGTTGGCTAAGATGGCCTTGAACTCCTGAGCTTGCCGGGCAATGGGGCATGCCTTTGATCCCAGAACTCGAGGAAATGAGTTCTAGGATAGCCAGGACTACACAGAGAAACCCTATATCGAAAAACCAAAACCAAACAAACAAAAAACTCAACTCCCCCCTTCAACCTCTTCATTATTTGGGAATATAATACAGACATTCATCACCATGCCTAGGTTTGCTGACATGTTTTTATATATTGGGTTTCATAGGATACATAATTATAATTAATTTAATTTCACCTATTTCCTTTTGGTTTATTTTGTTTTTGTTTTTTGAGACATGGTTTCATTATATAATTCTTGTTGGCCTGGAACTTGCTCCATAGACCAGGTAGTCCTTGAACTCTGACTCCTAAACACTGAGATTAAAGGCTTGTGCTACCATGCCCAGTTTGCTCTTTTCAGTGTACTAATTGAGTAACTTAAAATAAGGTGTGTGGGTCTATGGGGCTCAGGGTACAATGAAGAGAGGCAGACCCAGTCTGCCAGTCCTAAGGTGGTGTTAGAAGATCATATCCTTGTAAGGGTTTCCCCAGCAAATGGCCTTCAAGGTAACAGGAAAGCCACACCCATAACCCCAGCATTTGGGAGATGAATGCAGGAAGATTAGGAGTCCATAGCCACCCTTGGTACACAATTAGACCCAGCCTGGGTTACATGAGACCCTGTCTCAAACAAGGGGAGCAGGACATGAACAACGCAATTTGTCCCTTTTTCTGGTCTTTCCCTGGCATCCCCTAGCTCTCCATGAGGAACTTACCTGTGTGGGAGCGGTTGTGGATCTTCAGGTTCTCCAGGCGGGAGAAGCTCTTGTTGCAGGTGGGGCATCGGTGTGGCTTCTCATTGGTATGAGTCCGGATGTGGATGAGCATCTTGTACCTGCTCCAGGGAGGGCCCAGAGGCACACTCAGCTCAATGGGCACCCAGCCCCTCCCTTCCTGCCCTTACCCGGCTCCCTCACCTGGCATTGAAGCCACGGCCGTGGCGGGCACAGCCCTCCCAATGGCAGCAGTACCGAGCATCCTGTTCCGGCTTGACATGGTGGTCATTGACATGGTCAACCAGGTCTTGGAGGAGCTCAAAGAGCTGGTTACACTGTAGGGCCAGACAGGCAGGGTTCTGATCCCAAGTAGGGTACCGGCCCAGCCCTCACCACTCTTCCCAGCTCCCAACTCACCTTGGCCCATCGACACACCAGCTGCTTTGCCAGGGGCAGCTCTGGTGAGAGGCACTTGTCCTTGGGGGGTGTGAGGAAGGAGGAAGCAGGTAGGTGCAGAGCTCCCCCAGAGCCCAGGGGCAAGAAGAACTGGAAAGAACTGGGGACACCATCCAAATAGCGAAGTGGTTGGAAATCCTAAGGAGTAAAGATAAGAGCCTGTTAGTGTACCCCACTGGCAGGCCCAGACCCACCCCCACACTTTTTTTGTTTTGTTTTTCAAGATGGTTTCTCTGTATAGTCCTGGCTGTCACCCAGAGATCCACCTGCCTCTGCCTCCTGAGTGCTGGGATTAAAAGTGTGTGCCGCCACTGTCTCCAGGCCAGACTCATCACTTTACCCTCCTGTGGACAATGTTAATTTATATCACTGCAGCCAGTTGTAAGACGCCTTTAATTCCAGTACTCGGGAGGCAGAGGCTGGCAGATCTTTGTGAGTTTAAGAACAGCCTGATCTACATAGTGAGTTACAAGACAGCCAGGGCTATGTAGAGACCCTGTCTCAAAAATAAAATAAAATAAAAATAAAAACAAAAACAAGGGGGGTGGTGGTGGCGCATGCCTTTAATCCTAGCATTCAGGAGGCAGATCTCTGTGAGTTCAAGACCAGCCTGGTCTACAAGAGCTAGTTCCAGGATAGCTAGGACAGAGAAACCTTGTTGAGAAAGAAAAAGAAAGAAAGAAAGAAAGAAAGAAAGAAAGAAATATAGAAAGATGATAACAACCTAAAAGACACCCTGAGTGCTAATCCAAGGCACCTGTGTGTGTAGATAACCTCGTTTGAAAATAGTCTTTTCAGCCAGGCAGTGGTGGCGCACGCCTTTAATCCCAGCACTCGGGAGGCAGAGGCGGGTGGATTTCTGTGAGTTCGAGGCCAGCCTGGTCTACAAGAGCTAGTTCAGACAGGCTCCAAGGTTACAGAGAAACCCTGTCTCGAAGAAAAAAAGAAAGAAAATAGTCTTTTTGGGAGTGATTAGTTAAGGTGATGTCCTACTACAGTAAGGTAACCCTAAATCCAACACCTTATATCTTTTTGACAAAGAGGAAGGCCTGGACAGACAGACACACGGGGCCAGCTGAAGATGTGGTCACAACAGATGTCGTTACCAGCTGGGGGTGAATGCCTAGCATTAGGGCTTCCAGAACCTAAGAGCAAGGAAGGAGCCTGCTCCTGGGGCCTTCTAGGAGCATGGTCTTATCACCATCTTTACTTGGAGTTTCTAGAACTTGGAGAATTCCTTTCTCATTTCAAACCACCCATTTGGTGGCACTTGCCAAGGAGCCCCAGGGAGCCTCTGTCTCTCTAGAACCTCCCACCTCCTTACCACAGCAGTAGGCAATGGCGGCAGGTCACCATTGCCCTGGCGCTCAGGGGACAGGGAGCTGCTGCCATTTGGGGAGTCCAGTCCAGACGGTGGTGATAAGCTGAGGTCCACCAGGGGGGCTGTAGAAAAGCGTCCATCTACCTTCTCAGGGAACTTGGGGTTCAGCAGGAAGCCTGAAGAAGATCATGTTTCAGGGAAGCTGGCTAGAGTCCTGTTGGACCAAGTCCCACTACTTTGGGATCCCTACCACCATCTTTGACTACTCTGGGAACCCAGATATCCATGGAACAGACAGGACAGTTATCGTCATCTTGTCTGACCTTCACCAGGAGAGCTAGCTGCCAGAAACAGCAAATGTGGCTGGCACGGTGGCTCATACCTGTAATCACAACACTCAGGAGGCTGGGGCAGAAGGATCAAGAATTCAAGGCCATCCTGGGCTACCTAATGAGTTCATTGCCAGCCTGGAATACACGAGACCATCTCAACAACAAAAAGAGAGAAAATTTAAAATTTAAAGTACCATCTTAAGGATGAGACTTATCTGACACATAGAATAAGTAGTATAATCAGAACCAGACCATAAGACTACCTCACTCCCAGTCATGTTTTGCCTTAGTGTTCCTTTCTGTAAAATGGGAAAATTGGGGTACACTGACTCCTCTATCTCAAGCATATGGTTAAACTGGTTCTCAAGTCCAGGTGAAGGTACGACAGACAAGGTGAGTACCACATGGTAGGTGGGGCACAAAGCATCTGTAAGACACATCTGCCTGGCTCTGTCCCCAGTCAGCACCTAGTTCAACCAGACATACAGTCTCAGAGTCTAGGGACAACCTTGGGCCCACTACTGCTGCTTTGCCCCTCTCTGCCTCTTTTCCAGATCCTTCCACAGGCCCTGGTTGGAGCTAGTTTTACATGCCCACTGAGTAAAGTGGGCAGTATAGGATGAATGGACAGGCATGGAGACACAGTACCTGGTGGGGGGGAGCCTGGGGAGCCAGGCGTGGGGCTATCGTCCACCAGACCCAACTCCCTATGCAAAGTATGATGCCGGACCACACCCAGTGTCCTTTCCTGCTTCTCTCTCGCCGCCCGGAGCTTGGTGATGCTCAGCTTTAGGTCAAGCGGCTCGTCCAAGGAGTGCATGGTGATGTGGAGGGTCAGAGAGGGTACCCAGCTGGTCTTTAGGCAGGAACCTGGGGAAGGACACAAGCTGTGCAGTGACACCGTAACCTTAGGTTTCTCCTTAGCTATACCGTAAAACTCGAAGCAGCAGAGGAGTAGAGACAACATCCTGAATGGCCTGACTCACGCATATCATGGAGAGTCAGCATCTAAACAGTGCAAGATTCCACTGCCACTCCCCATAGACCTTTGGGATAGGCCAAGTCTGTGGTCTCCATTTTTTTTTTTTTTTTTTTTTTTTTTGGTTTTTCGAGACAGGGTTTCTCTGTGGTTTTGGAGCCTGTCCTGGAACTAGCTCTTGTAGACCAGGCTGGTCTCGAACTCACAGAGATCCGCCTGCCTCTGCCTCCCAAGTGCTGGGATTAAAGGTGTGCGCCACCACCGCCCGGCTGTGTGGTCTCCATTTAACAGTGAGAATACTGGCCCCAGTGACAGAACTCACAAGCTGGCAGAACAGCTAGACTTGAAGCTACATCTCCCAGGAACTAACTGGCTAAGTCCCAACTGTCACTGCTGATAGAATGGGAAGCAAATTTGGGAAGCCTGCCAGTCTGATTTCAGAAACCTAAAAGCAGGCTGGGGAGCAACAAACATCCTCCAAGATGTAGGTAGCATTCTTCAGTAGCCAATGAAGCACCTTTTATGCCAGAAGTGCCTGCTGAGGGCAGAGAACTATGTCACCTCTAAGGGAAGCAGGCTGAGGGCCTGTCCCAGGCAGGCTGTGCAAAGCTTGGCCGTGGGAGTGGGCCAAGACAAGGACTGAACCTTCCAGGTAAGACAGAGGTTAGGCCTCCACAAGCCACCAGGGGGCGGCTGAGGACTGTGGCCACGCCAGCTATGCAGAGTCTGTCAGGACCAGCAAAGGACAGTAGATAGTATTTTTTTTTTTATAGTATTTTTTTTTTAAAGCTGTAACAATATTCTTATAACTCCATACTGTGATATTCCTCCAGTTTGTACTATTTCTGGCTGTTGTAATCTTCATATCCATGGGGGACTCACAGGCTCCACTGACCTAAGAACATGGCCAGTTCTTCCACACCAAACTCAATTTTTCCAGCAGCAGTCTCTCTGCCCATGAGAAACCCCCTCCTTGTTTCCCCTGCCTTTGTTCACTTTCAGATTGTCACACCTTGAGAATATTTTTTGTTTTGTTTTGTTTTTCGAGACAGGGTTTCTCTGTGGCTTTGGAGCCTGTCCTGGAACTAGCTCTGTAGACCAGGCTGGTCTCGAACTCACAGAGATCCGCCTGCCTCTGTCTCCCGAGTGCTGGGATTAAAGGCGTGCGCCACCATCGCCCGGCCTTGAGAATATTTTTACTAAACAACCACGCTATGGGATTCTACCACTGTATTTAATAAAAAAGTGGCCATGGCTGGAAAGCCACTGCCTGGGAAAGACTTGGAGCAGTTTATTGAGCGTATCCTTGGGGGCTTGTGGGAGCCATGTGCAACCAGAAAAGTGCCCTTACAGGGTGAGCAAGGCAGCGGACAGCCACTGTATCCCAGCCATCTCTTCTCCAGGCCAAGACTCTAAGGCAGCTTCACCTGGTCCTCACTTGCATCCCAGCCCTGCACATGCTTCCCATCGCCTCCAACAAGCTCCACCCTTCAGGGCATTCCCTTCCTTGGCCTGAGATACTGCTTGTGAGGACATAGCCCCAGCTCCCACTACTGTGGCTCCATGGGAGCTGGGCACACAAGGCTGCTTTACTGGAGCACAGGAAGCCCCTCCTGACTGAGATTCGGGTCCACACTTGTCCCCACTGAAGTTGTCAGATGCACTTGTCCTCACTGACACCATGGTGACCCTCTTAGGTAGATGGGTAGGTGACAGTGATGGGTGGTCCTGGGCCTGCTTGTCCATTCCTGTCTAGGCAAAGGCTGCCCTCTGCTTGACCTGCAGCCCATTATGTCTGTCTGTCTGTCTCTCTACCTGTTTATTTTTAGACACAGGCCCAGTCCAACCTCCCTGAAGCTGCTCTATGCTGGGAGCCTGGAAGGGGAGGAAGGAAGTAAATATTTATGCTGATTAAGAATTCAGGAGCCAGGAAGGGCTGGTGGCCTGGTCCCTCTTCTGGCCCAAGGCCACAGGCCTCCCTGCCCCCAACACCCACCGTGGAAAAAAGAAGATCACTGGCATGGCGCCTGAGCTAGAAAACCCAAGTGCTGACTCGTGGTCAGAGTGCTAACCGAGCAGTACCCTTTGGCACCTGCTCCTGTCCCATGTTGTCCTCCCGCCAGAGGGAGCCTAGGAGGAGCCGGTGTGTCACCAGGTTCTGGGGACCCCACGGAACAGTGCAGTGTTCACCTAGGACTGGAGAAGGCTCCAGCAGGAGCCCTCCCTGGGTGGAGCACTCATTGCAGGAAAGGGGACGCCAATTACTGCCCCCCCATTAGCTGACCCAGTCTCCAGGGACACCCCTTCACTTCCTGTCCCTGGGTTCTGCCAAGGGAGTTAGGGGGTCATTTTGGAAGCCAGAACCCAGCCCAGGCGCTGCAGCCCCTCCTGGGAAAGGAGGAAGGAGCCGCCCCAAGGAGTCTCACAAGTTTTCCTACCCATAGCCCCCCAGGGAGTAGTCGGCCTATGACCCCGCTCATGCTCTGACCTTGGCCAACCTCTCCCTGTTCCCATTCCCAACCAGCATCAGCCAGTCTGAGCTCAGCTTTGCTTGAGCTAGGTGAAGGCGCAAGTGAGGAGCAGGTCCCCCACTCTTCTAAACAGCCTCTGCGGTTCAGCCCCTCCAGAGCCAGACTTAAATGCTTAGAACAAGGATGGTGCGGGGTGTGGGGGGGGGTGTGACCCAGAAAAGGTGAAGCTGCCTCCCCAGCCACGACCCAGCTGCTTGCCCTTAGAGTTCTGGAGATCAGTGGGTCTCAGGAAGCTAGTGGTTCGCAGGGGTAGGGGCCCCACCTATCTTCCAGTTCACCGATGCAGTGTCAAGGGACAGGGAGCACACTAGCCCGTCACTATCCCAACCTTGCTGGGGAAACCACCAGGGCCTCAGTTTCCCTACTGGTTGGGATGGCTGAGTGCCTCACACCCTGTTCTGACTGTGCAGCTGCAATCGCTGAGCAAAGGCTGCACCTCACAGTGCTCACTCAGGGTAGGCTGGGTACGCCCTGTGACACACCCACCTGCATGGGTCCGCCAAGGGAGCCCTCAAAGAGGTGGTCGCATGACCCAGGCCCCACGAGGATCCTCCAGCTGCAAAAGGAACTAATTAGAACAGAGGGAGCTGAAGGAAGCGGCAGTGAGGGAGGAAGCGCGAGAGAGGCTGGCTGAGCAGGGACCACCAGGCGGCAGGGGTGGGGACAGCCCTCCCACAACCCCCGGGGGGGGGACCCTGAGGGTGGGCTGGTGCCCCCACCCCACCCCACCCCCGCCAGCCATACCAAGACAATGACTGCTATTGTGTGCCCGCTGCTGACCCTGCACAGACTGCCCCCAGCTGCAACTCCTGCAGGGCATCCGGCCCACTATAGACCTATCTGCCACCATCCCTTCCTCTTGGGGAAACCGAGCTTCAAAGTCACCAAGCTAATAGAAGGGGACTGGACTCCCGCTCAGGATGACGTCCTTTCTTCTCTGCCCGAGAGAGGGCATTTGGTTGGCCTTGAGACTGGAGGAATAAAGAGGGAGGGCTACCTATGCTAGATAGTTCTTTAGTCCCTGGCAAACATTAAAGGACTAGGAGCTCAGCAAGGTGGGGTCTGTATCCTTGTCCACCTACCTCACAGCGCTGTGACTAATGAAGAACACCATTTCACCAGGGGTAGTCTTGAAATTGCTCATTTGATGAGCTATAGCAAACCCAGCCTACAACTTGCCATGGGCCCAAGATGCAGTCAGTCATGGTGGCACATGCCTATAATACTAGCACTTGTGAGACGGAGGCAGTTAGTCAGTAAATCAAGGCTAGCTTCACAGTAAGTTCCAGGTCAGTCTGGACTAGCACACACACACACACACATACACATAGGCCCTGGTGTATGTCTCCGAGTCTGGTAACTTGGACCCTTACTTTAGCATTCCACTCTTACAGACTAGGAATCTGAAGACTGGGGGATGTACCTGCCCCCGGTTGTAATCATGGGTGGCAAGGCCAAGACTAAAGCCATGGTGCTTATCACAGTGATTGCCCCAGCCACTGGCTGATGGTCTAACATGCCAGCATCTGTTATAGCAGGTGACAGTTCATACTACTTTACAGATGCCCTGCCCTGGGTCACAGGGTTTATCACCCCTCCTGTGTCCTTGGACTTGCTTAGGTTGGTCACCACCTCCCAATCCAGAGGGCTTCTGGAGCTAGGTGCAGAATCAGGAAAGGCAGCGGGCAGGCAGTGGGTGAGGCACTGGAAGAGATGACAGGGTCGGGGGGCCACCAGAAGGCTGGGAGAGCCGAGGCAGCAATGCTGCCAAAGCAAACTGCCCGTAACCCCACATTCCTGGGAACCGGCTGTGCTCCCTACTCTGGCCAAGAGCTCCACCCTCCTTGGCCGCCCAGTGAGAGAGGCTGGAAGGCAATGGCAGGGACAGGACCTTTCAGGGCTCCCTTCCCAACCAGGCAGCAGGCAGGGTTCCAAACATTGGTCAGACCACATGGAACCCCAACCCTGTTCCACTGCTTCCTGCCATGTCCCCTGACCCCCTCCTCCTCTTTCCTAAGGTGGGATGTAATGTTCAATGCACAGAACAGTTAGACACACAAGAGGTACTTATTAAACCCATCCTAAGTAATACCACTGCTTAAGTCTCAAGTCTATAAGGACAGCCCCCAGGAGGACTGGCCCTCCCTATGTACCCACAAACATTAAAATCTCATTCCAGACCAGAACTTTGGCTGGCCTGTACCCCTTGGAGAGCCTTGGACCTCTACTGTCCTGTAGAGTGACCAGAAAGTTTGGGGGGGGGGGCACCGGGGGAGGCCCTCCCTGTGGAGCCTGACTGAGCACTAAGAAGCCCTGCAAGGAGGATGCAGTGGTCAGAGGCCTCCCCAGGCCTAGAGAAG